CCCCAAAACCCCAAAACCCCAAAACCCCAAAACCCCGTTCAAGTATATTCAGATTGAAATAATATGTCAACTACAGCAGAAAAGGAGATCATTACTCAATTCAGCCTTGAAGATGATGAAGAGGTAAAGAAATGCTTCAGCTGTCAGCTTAGAAGCAAGAAGAACTATCCTGGAATGATCATATGCACTACGAATTACCTTCTATTCAGAGGAGAAGATATAACCATAAAGGAAAAGGCTAAGTATGATGATATCAAGGAGATCACTAAGTAAGTCCCTTTATCTGGCCCTCTCATATTTATGTAGAAAGTCAAAGACTCTGTTTAGTAAATGGAAAGGAATTTAAGATCTTACTCAAATCAAAAGAGAAGTTGAGATTCGTAGATTTTTATAACAGAAAGAAAGCATTAGAATATTTTCAGGATGAAATTGGACACCATTGCAAATCAGAGTCAGAGATTTATTGTGAAGGTATGATTCCTATCTAAAGACTTTATAGAAGTATCCATGGGTATGGTCCAGTGTGCCAAGCAAGAAGGACACAGCGACAATGCCAGGTACATAATCTTCCACTTTTAAGGTCTAATCAAGAAAATTTCATTACCATTATGCTCTAGCTCCAAGACTACAGCTGAAACTAAGTCAAATTTGGGAAGAAACTCTAATTTTGAGAACAAGATAAGGTCTAGCCTAGAAGAGGCCATGAAAACTTCAGACAGGATTCGATCCAAAAGTAGTCTCTATACTCATATTCTAGGCGGAGCTTGTGTTAAAGAGCATTGTGAAGAAAATAAAGGTGTCGATGTTAAATCAGAAGGTAATTTAAGCCCCTTTTTAAACCTAATAATGTATTTTTAAATGTAGCACCTTCTGACAGTTTTTTAGACGAATTTCTGGAAAGAGCAAAGTAGTTCCAGCTAGTAACACTCTAGATGCTCCGAAGATAGTCAGATATCCCAGAAAAATTTCTTTGAAATCCATGAAGATTCTTACTCGGGAAAGGTTGGTTTTTAATTACTTAAATTACGTTTCTGGATTCATTTGTCTAATATCAAAGGGAATTCTTTCTGACTAAAATGATTTAGCCAAGAGGCACAGGGAGCTTTCACAACCCTGAAACAGAGCACGATGGATCCTTTGAGAGCATTAGGGACAAGGACATAGCTAAACTTGGAAGCTTCATTAAGCCTAGGCATGGTGAAAAGGAAATCCTGAGTGCTATATTTCCCATCCCTTTAGGTATCTTCTGGAGAAGATTCCTGTCTGATCATGCTGAATATTCCTGGAAGGACTTTTATACAGAAGAGGGCCATAAAGACATCGAAGCTTCCCATTGGGAGCCTGATTCCAAAAATGGTAAATACCTAAAGATATCGATATTTAGGCGGCCAGAAAACTGATAACGATTCGACAATCGACCAAATTCTTGAGACGAAGAATAGAGCTGTTTTCAGAAGTATATTAATGGAGCTCAAGAGCTCCTCTTATGGATCCAAAGGGCTATGCATCCTGAAGTATTCATGCATCAAACGGCCAACCAAGATTGAACTTTGAATTAAAATGCAGATTCCAAGTGCTCCAAATGGTAGGCTTTTTCATGACCTAGTCTAGGCGACAAGTATTATTTCAATGAGAGATGGCTTCTCGGAAGTAGCAGTGCTAGAGGCAATAAGATTTATGCAAAAGTCTTCTTTAGCCTTCTGGCTGAAGAAGATTTGAAAAATAAAACCAAGCTCTTTAAGAAAGGGCACGACATTTTTGAGAAGAAGAGGCAAAAATGGTTAAAAATTGTGAAGACTAAGAGCCTTCTTGAAATCCAGGAGGGAGATATAAAGCAGATGAATAATGAGATCAAGGACATACAATCAAGAGAAAAAGAGGAATCTAAAACTCCCGAAGAGCTTCTAGAGGAATTTCAACCATTAAATTCTCAGGATTGTCAACCAATATTAAATGCTCCTAGTTTACATAAAGACAGCCCCGAGGCCACTCTCGAGCAAACCTCTACTAGAAGGTTAATCAACGGCAAAATGATATTCTTGTTATCCCTTTTGTTGTTTACACTGCTCTTAGTTACATTTTTAATATAATTCGACTAACTCTCTGCAAAATAACTAAATTTGATAACTTTATGCATTTTCAATCTGTAAATAAAGCTAAGGGGTTTTGGGGTTTTGGGGTTTTGGGGTTTTGGGG